AATTACAAAGATATCTCCACTTCCATGTCCTTAACCAACAACGCAACACGTTCATCCTTCCGCATGCTTGCATACGCTATGAATCGACTACGATGTGCTGCTGCAAACTCTCTCGCTTTACACTTTTACATTTGAAAAGGTGTTTACACCGAATTTCTTGAGCTGTTAACTCATTCTCCAGGATTAATTGATTACAGGTAAAAATATTACAACCCTCACAAACAGTTTTTATTCCACAACCTCTGCAACTACCACCCGTCCATCAGTCAAGCAAAACTTGTTTACTCCTTTCTATAAGCATATAATTTACGTACATATGTACGTACATATATTGTGATGTACATGAAGCAAGAAAGTTGGGATCCATGCAACAGCGGTGGTTGTAGATTACCTGACATTCATCAGCAACGAGCAGCTTTTGCTTAATTTAATATACAATTATGCTGGAGGTGTAATTCAGTAAAACTCTTAATGAAAGGGCCAAACCGATTAAAACTCATCACTGTTGGAGGAAACATTTATGAAAAGAATTATTCAAGTTGCGGTCAAGTCAAGTCAAGCAGGTTGGTCTTCAGATGATGCCACTGCAGAAGCCCGTTTTCTTCAATTTCACAACTCAACAGCTTATCAATAGCCAAGGTGCATCGCAGCGTAAACGCACATATGTACATTTGTACATCTCTAAGCTATACGCTTGAACTGGTTATCAGTGCAATGAGTAATTAGATTTTTTGTAGACGCTGCATATTAATTTAATCTTTGAATACCAAATCGAGCAACACCTCGAATGCAATTCGCATCAGTCAATACACGTAAAAGACGTTGTACATCTGTATGGTTGCTGCATGCACCCGCATCTCATCACCAACCAACTTGTATTCAGTGTACCTCCACAAAGGTCAGGATGGAGGGTAAACCTCTATTTCTATTCATATTTCGTCCTCGTAAAAGCATACGAGGCCCTGATGTGATCCTGGTGACTGTGATGCTGCTGAGGACTGAAAAGGGGTAATTGAGATTCGAACACCATCGTTTAGGTTGTTGCATAAATTACAGCTAGTGACCCAGTCAATTTGATTAACTGAAACAACCCTCAAATCCAATCATCTACCACGAGTAGTGAACAGAAACTATGTAGAAAGAGAGAGAGAGAGCGGATTGTGGTGTGAGAAAGGGACCAAGAGCCATTCAGGTTGGCTGAACATCGTGATGGGAGTGAGCACTTTTTGCTAAATGCACAATCTCTGGATTGGAGATGAGACTCGGAAGGAAGGAGCTGAAATCCACACCAGCAAGAGTATCACGACTCCTGCGTTGACGACACGGCGGAGCAGAGTTGGTTGACAAAAGTGGATCGGAGCCATGTTCCGGAAGAGCGACACCCGAACTGGGTGCATATGTCGCTTGCCATCCTCGTCATCATCCCCACCACCACCGTGTGTACTGCCACCCAAAAGAAATCACATTTCCATCCACACTTTAATCCCTTTTGGATGACATTTCACATTCATTGCACCCGATCCTCTGATTCCGCTCCTGCTTTTCCTCTCGGCATCATCACAGTGTTGAAACTTTAACCAACTGCCAACTACTCCTGTTGTTACCCACTCCGTTGCATATCATCCATTTCAAAAACATGATAGCTCTAGCTTTGCCCCTATTCTCGGTTTGTATGTATGTTCATACTAAGTATTCGATTTCCTTCACCTCTAAAAAGCACAGCCACGTCTTATCCAAGTGGGAAAAAATTTGATGCAAATGACTCAATTGTTTAAAACCCATAATTAATGTAATCTAATTAATGTAATCTAACTAAACATTAGCTTTAGTTCTTTTTCCCTATGCAATATTATTGTGTGGTTTAGGCAAAATAAGTCTACATCAACGGCGTACAAATAAGCAGTCAGAATATGAAACTTTGTATTTTATTCACTCGTTTTATCGCCGGCAATAATTTTATGGGTTGGTTTCGTTGGGCTCAAGTAGTGTGCACAACACTCCTATTCGTACGCGTTTGTATAATAATAAAGGCAGACAAGAATCTGCGCGAGTGCAACATTATTGTCAGAATAACATCATAACCAAGCATCGTATCAGTTCCAGTAGTAGACAGGTGAGGTAATAAATTTTTATGTGATGCTCTATGTGTAAATTTATTTCCATCTTCGCATCCTTTTGTAAAAAAAGAGTTGAGCACGACAGGACGTTTGATTTGAAAATTGCCTTGTTTCGCTTGTTGAGCTAACTAAACTCTGCTACTCCACTTCTTACACATGCACTTATTCCATTACTTGCATGAATTTCTTTCATTCTGCTCCTTTTTGCTCCTCGCCAACATTTGGTACACATGTATTATCATCAATGCCGGGTTATTTATTTATTCACATTTATTAAACAAATTATGCCATTTTCTCATCTCTGATTTAAATTATAGCCTAACAAGACCAGAACTTATTTACCAGTGTTGGCTGGCGCACACACAATTTTAATTTAGTAATTCCATTAAATTCTAATGACCAGCAAGTCATGAATCTGTCCATCAAATAGAATTGCAATGCAACCTCCCATTTGAATCAAACTGTTATTCGACAACCGGATTGCTCACTGCAATTGCTCCATCCATCTCCTTTCAGCCTGTTCATTATTACGAGAGCAGAGAGTAACATGTAGAAATCTATCTAATTCTGTGGATCACATCAGTAAAATTAATACACAATCTGAGAACATTTCTTGCTTTCAACAATTCCTCTTCAATTCGCTAATCTCTACAACCTGACAAATAATCTTAATCTTAATTAAACGGATGCAGGAGTAGCGAGCGAGTGGTTGTGTGCTCAGCATCGAGAGAATTCTTGTTAGCCCACAAATCAACTTTTACTAACTCAACAAGACTCGAAAACAAGAGAGTTTGCTCTTGTATTTACAAGGTATGAGCGAGTGATACGATACGCACACGCTTATCTGCCCATATCTGTGGCAGTAATAAAACGATAGCAGAATTCCTTCTCTTATTCGTGTACGCTAATTTGTATTATGGGGAATTCCATTTAAAAGAAACTCATAATGCAACATATGATTTCTGGTTACCACCTTATTTTCACGTAATAGCAGAGGCTCATAAATCATAAAACTTGTAGCTTAAGTTATAAATTACCACACAACACACTGCTGCCTGCTCTATATTGGTGGGTTTGTGCTGCTTTGGAGTAGAAATGAGTAATTAATACGGGAAGCGTTGTCAGTCAGAGGAGGCAGAAAGCAGAAGCGCAGGTGAGTGAGTGAACAAGAGTCCCACGCACAAGATAAATTGGACCAAGAAAGAAAAGCGATAAGACACTGAAATAAATCAAATGTACGAAAAAATGAAACGGCTGATGATTTGATGGAGCAACAACCGTGAACCTGAATTGATATTGTGGGAGAAGAACAATTATCTAATTCAGACATTCCATTCTAAATGCATACTATTCAACAAGAGAGAACTGCGCATTTTATGGAATTAAGTATGTTTAAGATGCACTACAAGATGTCCTAGCCCAACAATTCATTGCATTCGATTAATGAAAAATATCTTTCTATAATATTCTTCCTTAAGAATAAATCTATTTCTCAATTGCATGAACTATATACGTACAACCACGAGTACGGTGCGGATTGAATTATGGAAACCATACGTAATGAAGAATTTACGGCTGCCCGAGCAAATTGGTCTGGGCCTGGAAGTGTTAAGTCATTACTTTATATTGGGGTAGTCACAGTTCAATTAGGCAAAGATAAGAGCGGTGCAGCGAGGTTCAGAAGAGGGTCTCAAAGTTCACGACGCACATACATGTACTTCTCATCATCAGGAAGAAATGAAGGTGCAATTAAGTTCTGAAATGTGGATGTGAGGAGGGACGAAGAATAAGGGCCAAGAGAAGAAACAAAATTTCGGCTCGAACCTTTTAATGGAAATCGTATCTGTCTTCTCAAATCATCATTTGTGTCTGTAACTTTGTCGGAATGGCTGGAGCAGCAGATCGAGGGACCCAAGGGCTCCACCAACTCGCTCATATCTCAACAATTTATTTAGTAAATATGCTCATCCGGATTTTCATGCTTGCCAAGTTATGCTCCCAAACCAACCGCTTTCTCGGCAGTATTAGTTACGTAACAATGTATGCTGCGTAGACTGCACTGCAATTGCTTTTATACATTATACACATTATAAAAAATTTGCATGCACGGCTTGTCCAATTTTGTACGTCATAACTTTGATAAGTATATAAAAATTAGTCTGACCAGCACAAGAGCCGAGAACAAAGTATGTATGTGCATTGTTACAAATCTCCTAAATTACAGTTGGTTGAGATATAGATTTTTTTGCTAAAACCAAGAAAAGATGTGGTTCTGAGATATGTGAGGAAAGTCATATATCAGAAGTGGTGATGCTGCTCGTGTTATTATGGAAATTGGCAGTCTTGTGCTTGTTTGAAAGGATTGCGTGTCGATATTGAACATGTTTCTCATCCTCCTCCAGGTCAATTTTACGATATCATATTTATTTTAAATGCCACCTTCTTCACCTGACCGCTTAATGTTGGCTGACCGTAGCCTTGAGTTAAAGAGACTGTTTGCACGCGTATCACCTGATAAAAGCGAGTATTTTCATTGAATTGTGCATTTCGAGGGCAGCTAAATTGGCATTTTATCAGGTATGCAAGTTTCTTGTAAGAAATAAACTAGATCAAGAATGTTGCACTCTCCATCACACACATACACACACCCCTCGCATTGATTTCAATATACCCTTAGGTTTCCCATACCGAATAAATCTCCCATGCTTTCAAAATCTTATAATGACGATGGCAGATGAAATATGCAAACCATTTGCCAAATTATTATCTATATACTTGATACCATTTTTGTAAAACTCTATTCCTCCCTAACACTAACGACATAATATATGTATCCAAATAAGTAAATACTAAATATACAGAGTAATAAAAAATGCGGCTTACCTTCCACTGCTCAAGAGGTTGAAAATTAATGATAGGTTAATATAACTGATTCTTACCTATCAAAAAATATGCTTTTTAATATGCACAGACTGGCTGCTTCAAGTATTTGACCTATTAGGCCCTTAAAGTGCCTTTCTGTGCATATACGGATTAAAGCACAAATTTTAACGGGTAAGATTCGGTTGTATTAATCTATCATTAATATTTGCCTTTTGGTAATGATCATCTCGGTCCCTAGGTCGTGAAATTTGTCCCACAATTCCTTGGTTTCTAAGTGGCAATGGACCTGCAGAAGCTCCTCGTCATTGCACCTGAAATTATATTATTAGCAATAACTATTATGGACAGAAACTGCATGTTGAAATTTATGAACCGGGCTCCCGGATCAAAGGGTTAACCAATGTCAATTAATTATTCAAATTTTGTAATGTACTGAAATCATAAGAATCTTTTACGACTTTCTCTTTTCTGTCACAATGCTTGGAGCATAATTAAATTTACAAAATCTCACTTTATGTCTGTGTTTTACATCGTTCCTTCATTATAAAAATAGATTTGCAATTTAACCATCATATTTTTGATGTAGAACGAACATAATAGAGAGTGATTATGGTTTACATGCTCGGTATTTAATGTGAGACAAACAAAACCCTCGTCAACTTGGAAAAGTTCATGGTGATAATTTGACCATCACAACATGTTACGTTATTTGAGCATAAAATAATAATTCAGTCATCCTTACCGTCCCTTCATTTCCACTTTTTTGGATTTTGAACTCTTTTTAGACGATCGGTTGGTTGTGGCCGGAGGGGGTGCGGACGAGTCGTCAGGGCCTGGTGAGTTGGCTCCAGGCGAACAACGGTCCCCGCCTCCCACACTGCAAGTGTCATCATCCTCAAAGTCCTTGACACTTCCGGGAGTCTCAACTGAGGAGGACGTGACTTTATTGTCGTCATCGCAAATGTCGATATCTTTTTCGCCATCGCTGTCGGAAAAGTCCTCAGTTTCGGAGACATCCAATCCACGATGAGACTCATTTGATGTGCTGAACAAATTTCGATGATGGTGGTGATTGTTACGGTTGTGGTTGTAATCGCTGATATTATTATCAATACTGGTACAATGTTTATCTAAATTCGTGCAAAAGGAAAAACTGTCAGTAAAAATTTTTCACGTAAATAGATACGCTAGCATTACATGAGCAACGAGAGTTTTCTCCTCAGTTTGTGTACAAATAATCATACTCGACGTGAGACTAGCACTGGAAGGTTTGAACCATTTATAAAAGGAAAAACAATTTAAACGGCCTTCGAGGTTATGATGCCTGAGCCAAAGTTTAAACAGTTGAACTCAAGAGTGAAGTACCCCCTGAAGTGCAGTAAATAATATTTACCTAATCATTCTCATAGAATTTCATTCTCTATGAAGTTATTCTTTCTTGTTGACTGGTTAAGTGATTTTCATGCTGTGTTTCAATCATTTCGATTTGATATTTGTACATACCTAAATTAATTGAATTGGACAAGATTCCGACATGTTCACCCAACGCACATTTCTTTGTACATTGATTTTTTTACACTAATAATACTGAAAATACGAAAATCATGATCTGCACGTACATGCATGTGCATATGTAGCTACATATGTACATAGCATCTAGTATGCATAATATGATAGTCTCACCTTTTGTAGGACTATCGTTTCCGACACCGGGAGAGGAACTTTGATTTTTCGAGATCTCTTTCGACATAATCGCCGCAATTGAAAAGTCGGTGGAGCGAGGCTTAGTCGACGCCACAGCAGCTGGAGTATCGTCCATGGCTGCTGGGAGCATATTGTTTTGAGGATTACAGAGAAGATCACGACACGGAAAGTGTATCACTTTGATCACTTCGCACAGTACTAAAACACCCCAAATCCAAGTGGACGCTTCTTTCTCTCTCTCTCTCGCACACGTTCTAATTAAGTATTTTATGCTATGGTCGACCCTGGTCCGTTAAGAGTTGACAGACTTTGGAACAGTAGTACGAATTATTTTTGCACACATTTCGATTGCAAAAAATGTGAAATTCACTCGAGTTGAGTTTAGTATTTAGTAGTAGTAGCGGCGACTACACATGTAATGTATATGTATCTTTATCACCTTGGCTTGGGAAAAGGTAACCCGACAGGATTACCACAATTGCTTGTGAGTGGGTTGGCTACTAGTGTCAAGTAAGTACGTTGTAAGGGATATATAGCCGCTATGTTTCTGGTGGTTTCACGCAGGGTGTTAGTTGCAGAGTTATCTCTCGAGTACTCTCAGTTATCGACTGAAGAGTTGGCGCAGGGCACATTAGAGTCAGACTACTACAACAAACATTTGTCCGGGGAAAAAGTGGTTCTTCTCAGCCAACTCTTCAACTTCTTGGTCTTCTTCGCCAACTCGATCGCACACATTTCTGTTTGAGCAGCAGAGGCAGCAACGTTGGTGAGGTTAAAAGCATCTCGTCGTTGTTGGTTGAGAGAATATAGAGAGGAAAACAAGGGAGGGATAGAAGAGGACATTGGAAGGTTGGCTCTTTTTACAGCACGAGGTTGCAAGGGTGACCATGAAGCGGGGCTGGATCGTGTGGTACCGTGGGGCGGATTAGTTTTGGGGTTGGGCGTGGTTGCGGGAGGGACTCTTGCCTGGTGATTGACACCAACCCGAACAATGGAAAAATAGTGTCACCGGTGAAAAGATGTGTAATGGATTTGTTTTATGAACACACACCAAAACCACGACCAGCAGAAGAGCATCTTTTTTCAATCCCATTTTTTTCACCCGTTCGTAGTTGGATTGCTTCCTACATGGATGTGTCTTCCTTGCCTAAATATGTCCGAAGCTATTACTCAGGATTACCTATTAAGCCGTACTTCTGTTTGCAAGTTGCACATATATACATATTTATTTTTATGTGTCTGCATATTTGCATGTACGTAGTAACTGTCCAGCACGTTCATGCAACTCGTATGCTAAAGTTAATATTACTACATGTCAAAAATCGCATTTCCTAAACAGAAAGCCAGACTGAGTTATAACGTGCAAGATTTTATAATATATTAGATATTATAAAATGATGATGGGTTCACTTAAAGCGCTAATGGCCATCTCTTTTATTAATTTTGCTCACTCGACTGAACTGGGTGACTTTATGAGAAAAACTGACTTTATGATGGTAGCAACTCCCATCCATCTTCAAGCGTTGTCAAAATGGATTTGGCTTATCATCGTGAATTAGCCTTACAACAAAGTCGAGAACCATTTATGTAATTGATTACAGTGTAATAAGTAATTTTATTTATCAAGCAGCAGAAATCAGCTTTTTGTGTACCTCACAGTCAAGAAGCCACACACAAAGCAGTCCTTTTATGTAAATTCAAAGCCCAGCTCCAAATTACAACCTGGTTGGTAAACCACCTTCAAAAGATGATTAGTCAAAGAATCATCAAATGATACGATGTAGTCGTCCCTCCCCTTTTTCCTTACACATGCATCGCCTCTCCACCTCCAACAAGAAGGCCTGAACAAAAGCACACGAGATGAGTGCAGCTACTTATGGCTTCTGCTAATTAGCTCATTCCCTTCTTCTTCAATCCTCCGTGTTATTCAATCTTGTTGACTCTTTCGATTAAGCTATTGATTGTTCAAATCCACATGCAGAGTATTCCTATGCATTTGTTTAGACCAACAGCATCACTGTGTTGTTGCCCTCACACTGTCAACCCGCAATCAACCAAGGCTTGTTAAGCAGTCCAACTTGTCAGTTTTTACTCTTTTGTAAATTTATCTGAAAACCATTAATTAACTTTTATTATTTTAGAAGAGCTTTCAACAAATTAAAATAAGTAAACGAAACCCATGTGCATGCGAGGAGCGTATTATATATTGCCTGCCATATTTTATACGTTATGAACGCAACTGCAAAATAATTGGACTTGTTCACGTACTACGGACTTGCATATTTCAATCACCTGTAAATCCAAGCGACATGCTAACTGATAGTTGTTGGCCAATAAACATTTTTATTACTGTTATTACATCAAACTTTGCCAGTAGTTGACTCCGTATAGAAGCGAAAGGCAACTTTCGCACAGAAACGCTGTACATATTACAACACTAACAAAATGCTGCGTTTGTTTGCCTAGGATCCTCGTCTTGTTGCTGATGCGTTTAGAAACTAATGCACAGCAAATATGTACATGACACCTTGTACTTGCTGCCGAATACATTTTACAAATTGATGCTAAGCGCAAAGCAATCAGTTTATTACGATAATAACATTGGCTTGTCTGACTTGTAAACTTTTAAATTTTATGATCTGCAAGTCAAAGTTTCTCAACAGTCACCCCCAATTATTGGATATTTCATTCTGTTTATTAGCTAGCGTCGCGTAGGTATAATTCCGTCATCAGCACTTGTTCGCGTTTATTAGAGTAAACGATTATTATTGATTTGACCTACAAATATGTATATTGCTCTACGTCAGCTCCATTATACTTACTTATGCTCACAATTAATATTGCACCTTGTTGCTGTAAATGCTATAATGTCGAGTGAAATATTGTAATATTTTTAAACTGTCAATCTGCTATTTTGTTTGGTACTTCGACGATTATGGGAGCCATAAAACTAATGTATTGCACTAATTAACTTAATTGATTGCAAATCAAAGGTTAAACATTACTGACACATTACAACTCGTAAAGCTGTATATCTTTGTCACGTACAATGTAATTCTAAATTGATTGATTGGTACATTATTAATTCTAGAAAAGCCTATATATTTCTAGTGTCATCATTACATCACTACAGCCATTCCTTTGTGTATAGACTTGAAGTACTTATTGGTATCGTTATCATTTCTCCTACTTAGCGACCGACACGAATGCATGGGCCAAAAAAATATAAATTTCCCACACATGGGAGGAGCATTTGATGCCTCTTGGTCCCTGGCGTGCATTCTTTCGTCACGTTTCCTAATGGGAAGATTGCATAATGTGCGGGACTAACTATAATTTAATGAACATTTGGTTAAAGAGTGAAGCTCTGGAGATTTTAATGGGAGTTTTGGTCCACACCAACGAAAGTGGTTGATACAAAATGCACAAGTTATGATTTAAATCATAACCACCCATATCGAATCATTTCTTTGGCAAAGCATGGAAAGCATGTACGCAAGCAGTGCAACCTCACTCGGTAGCCATTTTTCACAAAACTTTTTTTGGTGCTCTGTCCAATGTTGGATCCCAGCCCCACCACAGACACACTCGACATGCCCAATTAGCCGATTAAAAACTGAACGCCTTCCACTCATATTTCAACTTATAATGGTAATAATAAGTCTCCTAGCGGTTGCACTGCATAATGAAATTATCCATCGTTTGGCGATTCTCATCCAGATTTCCTGTTGTAAACCCCTAACCAACAAAGCTTTCTTCTGTCATCAGTTGGTGGCTGTCCCCCAGAGGAAAATGAAACAAAATGACCTTTCCTATTTGATATGCAAGTGCTTAAAAGTTTATAATGATTTTTCTACGGATAATTGTCGCTTCGAGACCCCAAGAGCTGAACTTTGTGCAGCTGACTGCATTTGTAAAAGCTGAACGAAATAAATAAGCCAGGAAGGAAGGGATACATGCACACATACCCTTTGCCTCAACATTAAGCACAACGCAGTCAACTTAATGCATGTATATTCGTGTCTAGTCACTCACACCCCTATATCTGTAAATTCGGCTCATTAATCTTTTTTCAATGGTTTGTTTGACGTGAATCCCTTCATCCTATTAAGAAGCGTAAAGTCAATTCCGTCCGCACAACTCTCACTTGCGATCTGTGAGGTCCTTGCCGTTTTTATGACACCGAGAAGCTACCACTGCCCCCTTATTCGTCGTCCTTATGCAACAAGAAAATGGAGACAGATAAATAAAAGAGACCTTCCATGTGTTTGTAAATACGCTGCCAGGAATGAGTACGTAGAGTAGATGCATCACCAGTTTCCCGTTCCAGGTCAAATCCAGGTTATTGTGCGAGTTTAAAAGATCTTATTTCGCTTCCTCGTCTTATTCGTACGCTTGATGATGGTGAGACTGGTGAGAGGTTTTTGTTTTATTGAAATGGCATTCACTCATTGCTAATTCAGTTTATGGTTGAACCAATTATAAAACTATAACGAGACGCTGTCCGTGTTGTAAAAGTTTTTAAATGTTCTTTATATTTAGCTGAACAAGATAGTGTAGCATAGAATTCAATTAACTCATTTCACGGCCTGCCAGCCTCTTGCAGTCTCCCTCCTTTTACTTCTAGTTAGTCTTGAATTTGTGGTGTACATAAAATAGGACAATTATTCAGGAGCAGGCTACATACGTTGTAAACGAGGAGCTAGATATGTACATATGCAGACGTCGAGTCGTTATGGGAGGTCAGCGGAAAATTCATCTCACATTATTATATTCTTGCTCTCCCGTTCTTGTGTCGAAAATGCTCTTTCTTTCTCTCTCAATCTGGCTCAGTCAGTTCATCCAAGCGAAAAACATTTTGTCTCGAGATCACAATGAGAAATGACCCAAAAGTGGTGTTGCTTTTCTTGCATGTACATGCTGATCCGTTATTGGTGTACATAATCCACAAAAGTGGATGTGAAGAAAAGCCATCCAAAGAATTAACTGCAATGACTCCCTTTGTGTCAATGGAGTGAAGTTTTGAGGATGGAATTGGCAGGGCCGGATCCATTATTTGTTCAAGAGAAGGCATGTGCCCTTTGATTAACGCAGCATTTCACAATCGACGTCCATTCTTCGTAATCAGGTTGCCGTAGGTGAAGTGAAGTCTGCCAGTCTGTTGAAGCCAGTCACTTCCCACAGAGTGGACTTTAACTCCCTTTCTGCTTCTTCTTGCCAAACCAACCAATGCCACGAATTGCCTGCCACATCCATCCAATAAGTCGACTTTTTGCCTACCTTTCTCCTCTTTCTTTGTTTAACACGAGGTTTCATATAAAGGATGACGTCCCCCCGTGAAGAGCTGTGAAAGGAAACCTCGTACCTGTGGCGAGCAGGGAAACGGTGGTCTGTCTCAAATTTATAGCACCATTTCCCATCATAACTATTTACTAACTTTTTTTAACAAGCTTTTCTCTTCTCGTAGAGGCTGACTAACTCAACACTGCAAACAAGATAACTACCAGCTTGATTATATAAATTTTCCGTGATGAGATCCGTTTTCGTGCTGAATAATAATGCAAACCCAATAATTACTTTTGGAACTTTGTAGATGTGAATCAATGCAATATCAAGTAAGATGGACATATCACCAAATTTATGAGAAACTGTGCATACTAACGTGTTTCAATGCAAGCTAAATCTTGGCGTAATCGTCGATCATTCATTTGAGAATCATAAT